AATGTAGATTAGCCACTGGAGGTTCAACAACGAGGGTTGTTTTAAATCCAAAGGCTAGTAAGAACGACCTATTTTCCTCGAAACATCTAGATAATTACCAAGTGAATTCTGGGGCCTCATCGCACCAAATGAAAAATTTCACAAACTTTTTAAGATGCCAGACCGGGAAAAACTCTGTACCCAAAGATAATCTTATGGCCGTTGCTAGTCGTCCGTATAATCGGACGAATAAAAAATATTAATCGTCCGATTATCGGACTCAAACTCAACAACACAACCCAACCGACCCCGCCCCATTGGCCCCCCCCCGCCCCATTGAACAAAAAACCCAACTAAAATGGGCAAATTTATGTTACGATAAAAATAAAACACTTTTTAACAAAGCAACAACAAATTTATGAAATAAAAAAAGTTCGACAACTTCTAGTAGATTTTATGTTACGATAAAACTAAAACAAACCAACCAACCCAACCCAACCGAACACTGTTTAACAAAGAAACAACAAATTTATGAAATAAAAAAATAAAAAAAATTCGACAGCTTCTTAGTATCGAACCCGGGACCTCTCGCATGCCAAGCAAACGCCCTACCATATAAGCTATCTAGCTTGTTGTCAAATATTAAACGGTCGGTGAACAAAAGCGGATTATAATTATGACGTAACTAACGTGCCTTCTCGGAGGACTAGCTTCATTTTATTCGTCCGATGATCGGACTATTAGACAAGTCGTAATCTTATCTTTGTCTGTACCCTCTCACTACACTGCCGTCCTAAGCGCAGAAGCGGTAATTAACATAATGGCTGTCATGAGATATTGGTACTTTTATGTTAATAGCTCTGCCAACTCAGTTTGGTAACAGATGCCGCTAAAAATAACTTGATATTTCAATCATTTACTGACAAAATACCGATTTAATACCTTATTAAAGTAGAGATTTTTAACCCTAGTTTCATATTACGGAAAAATGTCAATTTCCTTTAAATGTGCAGTTACCGCTTCTGCGCTTAGTACGGCAGTACAGCCAACACATGACCAAAATGTCAAAAAACTTGACACTCTTTTATAAGACCAGTATAGAAGAATTCGATGTGAAGGGTAAAGAAACTAAAAAGAAAAGGCCTATAGTCTGGGCTAATGCTGAAAAGCTATTAGCGGCAGTTTTGGAGAAAAGGAAGCAAATAGGCGTACCAAAGGTTAAAGTAACGGCGGACGGAGGTCAAGGTTTTTTTTTTAAATATGTATAACTATTCTCCCAGAGAACTATCTACCCGATTTGAATAGAGGCTTAGAAAATGCTGAATTAATTCAAGAGGAAGGGGAAGGAAATGATCAAGTAGAAATCAAAAGTCAAAGAAGTTTCTATGTTAATGGAGGGTCCATCGGAAAGAAAGGAAAATTGACAAGTGTAAATCGACTTATAATGCTTTGCATTTTACCTCAAGTAAAAGAAACGTATAAAAATGGTTAGTTAATGTTCAGATTAACAAATCTTAATGCAATCTCTTTTAAATTTGTCTCCGATTTTAAACTAATACTTTTAATCAATGGCCAGCAAACGGCTACCGCTACTTATCCGTGCCCATATTGTTTCATTACCTTAAAGGATTTGGAAACAGAAAAAAAGATGCGTCTACTTATTTAAAGACATATGGAGATTTAAAAAGCTAAATTTTGTTTTGAAGGGAAAAACAAAAAGCTTGCGAAGGAATGTCACAGCACGATAAACCTATCCTTTTTTGAAGAAGCTGATGATATGTATGTCATCGAAAAGTGTATCATACCAGAACTCCACCTACTTCAAGGATTCGTGAATCATTTATTTTGGGATGGCCTTGTGCCTCTACTTGGACATGATAGAGCCTTGCTATGGCCTAAAAAACTAAGCTTAATCGCGAAAAATTATCAAGGTGATATCTTCAAAGGGAATGCCTGTAGAAAACTTTTGAAGGAAAGCGACATACTTACTTAAAGTTTCTAAAAAATAATAGACTAGGTCTATGGTCAGAACAAGCTGGTGAATCTGTTCACAGAAATTTCCTTACATACTGGAATGGGTATAAAATAAACCGTTTAGACGATCCTAGTTACATAGTTAATTTAAAAAAAGCTGTAGTTGAATTTTCATCACATCATTTGTAAATAATATGTATAAATATATGCCCTAAGTAAGCAGCTACGATTTTGTTTGATTGATTTTTTTGATCCCCAGTACTTCTGTTACAAGACCCCCTAATCAGGTTTTGGTGACTTTTTGTTAAACCAATTTTTACTTAAAGACACCTGTGGATTATTTATCCTTTAAAAATTGTTATATTTTAAACTAAATTATCATTATGGATTAATTGTCATTAGTAAGATCTAAATTTTTTCCAAATTTCATATCGATACGTTTTGAAAAAAATGAAATATCTTCATTTTTAACACAGCGAAGAAAAAATAAAAACAAAGTTGTCAATGGACGAGATTTTTCTTGAACCCTTGCAAATCGACCGTTCGATCCTTTCGCGAAACCGTAGTTTAGTACAAGAAAAATTATTACAAAAAATCACTCGCCCAACCCAACCCATTAGGTTGTTAAAACATAAAATAACTAAAACTATAATATTAATTTTATTGAATTATTTAAATTTTCCTTGGTTAAAACAGCGCCAAATTTGAATTTAAAAGTTTATGAACCACAGGGCCCCTACAAGGTGAACTCTCTATTAAAAAGCTTCAGGTGTGCATAAAGGTACACTTAAAAAGAAAGAATTAAAAATAAAAAGCACCTTAATTTTATTACAAAAAAATATATAAAAAATATTAAAACAAATTTTGTATTGAACAAAAAAACAAAAAATGTGAATTTTTCTGAAAATAAACTTTACGGTAAATTAGAATTTAAGAAGAAATAAAAGGTTTTTCTTAATTAAATATTCAGTATTGCCACCTCTAGCATTAATGCAAGCATTAATTCGACGACGTATGCTTTCTATTAAGTTATGGATTTTTTTTTGGGAAACATTTCCTCACTCCTCTAAAACTGCTTTTATTAGTTTATCTGTATTGCCTATTTTAACGAACTATATGCTTCAAATACCAATTAAAATGGCCAATTTTGCACTAATATTTTTGGAATCCTTAACTGTGTTCTGCGATTGAGAAGGTTAAAACAAGGATTATAGCTCGTTAAAACAGTTGTGGGAAAAAGTTCAACAAAAGGAAATAACTTAATAAAAAGCATGCCTCGTCAAATTCGTGCTTGCATTAAGGCTAGAGGTGGAAACACTGATTAATAAATTAATAAAAACCAATTATTTATTCCTTAATTCTAATTAATTGTAAAGTTTATTCTTAGAGAAATTCACATTTTTTGTAGTCTGTTCTCTAAAAAAATTGTTTTAATAAATTTGTCTTTATTTTTGTAATTAAATTGGTTCAGATAAAGTGTTTTTTATTTCCAAATCACTTTTGGAATAATGTTTCTCATAATTACTGGGTGATTCCATATAAGTTTGGTTGTTTGTATATATCCGTATATTCTGCAATTTTTTTTTAATGGGCGATGGTATTTCCATTGCAATATATGGTTTGCCCTATTTATTCGCTTAATTAGGTGGACAGTTTTCAGTAAATATGGCAGATATGGCAGATATATGTTATAAATAATGTTGATCTGTGCTTAGTTAAATTAGGTAGCTCAACTTTTATTTTTTTAAAGTACACAACTACACAAGATATAAAAAGTTTGCCAATAGGACCTGAAAATGTTTGGAGTCCTGTGGTATTTCCATTCAGATATCGAACCAAATACTGCAGTGGCAATTTTTTTCATGTAAATGACATATTATCCATTGCCAACGGTCGTTTGAAATTAAATTCTATCAAATGTATTACACCACCTTGAGACCTAGTGTTTACGACTGTACCATTGCAGCCAACAGCAATAAGCTCGGTAGTTGACAATTGAGGGGGTGCATTCCCAAACTCGGCTTATACATATTAGTTGTTTTCGAGCAAAATTTCAAAAACTTTACACGTGAGTACTAACGCATATCAGGCAACCGAAATATGAAGGCATAAGTAAAACATTTATATACCTTGATTAAAAAGGTATGGCTCCAGTTTAAAATAATTTAAAATTACATACGTATATGCCGAGTTCTGCATGATATAACCAATAGATAAGGCAAGTTTTGGAACGATATTTAATTTGTAAATTAATTTTAAATGGAATAAGGTTAGTTTTAGAATATTATGAATTTTCAGGGTATAGGGGGATACATGTTAAATGTACAGACACCACTAACTCATTTTTATTAAAAAGTGGATAAGCCGAGTTTTGGAATGGACCTCCTCAATTTATAGTTATATAATAGTTTTTCAAGATGATGTATCCTCATTGTTTTTCGATGTAGAATTCGATCTTTACGACCATTAAATACGACGGACGACTGTTCAAGCTCAGCCTGTAACGTAGTTTTGCCTAGGCATCGAGTTGTAAGGGGGCGTTCTTTACAAATTTTTGTTTAAATTAAACGCGTTTTTTATGTGGGTTTATTAGAAGCTTTTGGCGCATCAGGCTTCAATATTTTTCAATTTTATTTTATATTTTTTAAGGGTCAAATAATGAAATAAATAAAAAATACCCTTTAACTTTAACCATTACACAACCTTGTTTAACTAAAGGCATAGAAAAATTAAAAAAATCGACCCACCCTATTGTTATAAAGTTATAAAGTTATAAAGTGCTCTTTTAGTTCCACCCTTACATCCAAACTAAGATGTCCCATAAGCCAACTGAATGGCTTGTGCGGGTTAGGGGTAGGAACGGACCGACGGCTTAAAGTCCCCTCCGAAGGACTATACACAATGGACAAACACAAATAAACAACCATACCCAAGTGGGATTCGAACCCACGACCTCTCAGCTCGTATCCAGGAGCTCTGACCACTACACCACCGAGGCCGCTTCTTCCGAGCGACGCTTTTTGAAACACACAAAATAATAATACCTTCAGATTTAAATATATATTGTAATATTATTTATTTGGTATTAGTATTAAGTAGTATTAAGTCAAACAAATCCTTATTTTATTAGATTTTTTACTATCAAACGTTCTGTTTTTGAGGTTTTAATTTGTATTTACTCGAGTATACCATCGTATAGTTCATCAGAAGATTCTTGACATCTAGCATTTCGTGGCCAATCACAAACGTTTAATTTAGAATTAAAGTGAAGTCCCCATGGACATCTTTGCAAATATGGAATTCCGTTGTTACATTCCCAGAAAATGGTACAGTCTAAATCTGACAGGTACTGTTTATCGCCACAGATGGCTGTAAAAGCCTAATTGTTTAATATTATTAAAAGTATAATATAAATACTTACGAGTAGTAATTGGTTCCTTGGATGATACATAAGACTCTTTAGACTCTTCAGATTCCTTAGACTCTTCAGATTCCTTAGACTCTTCAGAATCTTCATTTGAAGCATTAGAAGAACTTTTGTTTGATTGTTCAGTAGAACCACTCATTTTGTTTCTGCATTCAGTATTTTCGGACCAATCGCATACATTTAAAATTGGGTTGAAATCGAGGTTTGCATGGCATATTTGCAAATATGGAACACCATTAGAACATTGCCAGAATGAAGAGCAGTTGGGACCTGGGAGATATAGTTTATCTCCACATGTTGCTAAAAAAAGATATCGACATAAATAATTTCGAAACACGATTTGGAACAAGTTTTTAAAGCGGATTTTACGAATGTAACGTTTGATTTCTTCAGTTGTGAAATCATATAAGGATGGTTCAAGTTATTGTTTTTTGTGCGGTGTACCATCCTGTTAAAATAACATTTAAGAAAGAAATATTTAATCCTGACAACTCAAAAAATACAAAAAATGTAAAATTTACTTAATTTCTGTGTTTTTAAATTCGATATTTAAGTTCCTTCATATTATTTGTGTTTTTTTTAAGTACATATGTTTTTTATATACTTAGAGAAATTAGATAAGAGGGTTACAAAAAAACTTACGGAGACTTATTGGGGTTGGTAAAACTTCAGTGGTGATAGAATTTTCTCCAGAAGCTTCTTCGGACTCATCATTGAGTGATTCTTCGGATGAAGCTGAATTTAAAATACAACAGTTATCAGGTACACATTTTTATCTTAAACCATTTAATAAATACAACTAAAAAATTACGCAACTTAAAAGTCAATTAACATGGGAAATAATGATAATATTTATAATAATAATATTAATAATTATTTATTTGTTGTAAAAGTTTATAAACGCAACTCATTTTAAACATAAAAACTACTAATACAACAAAATAGACTAAAAAGCAGAAAAATCTTATTGAAACCAGGAAAAAACAAAATTAATTAAAAAATAGTTAATACAGTTAAATAAAGTATGTTAAATATAATGCTATGGTTTTACAAATTTAACTAAATAATTTTTTAATGCAAATTTAAAAAATCTAAATTTTTTTAGTTTTAAGGTGTTTTATGAAATTATTATTATTAAAATTTCTACCCGTTTGGCCTATATATGTTTTCGGACATTCTCTGCAGGTTAGTTGGTAAACGCCGGATTTTGAAGATTTTGATGTTTTATCTTTGTTGTTTTTGATAAACTTACTGTTGGTTTTAAATGCTAAATTACTATTGATTTTATTAAAGAAATTAGATACATGTCTCATCTTAGCACTTAGATATGTACAACTATTATATGTATTCATGGTAATCTTAGATGTAGGAAAAACGTTGTTGATAGCTATTTTTTGTTTTTTGTGGTTTAAGATTTTGTTAATTAGTTGTGCATCATAGCCGTTGTTAACTGCTATTTGTTTAATTAGGTTTAATTCTTAATTATAATCTTTTTCTGATAATGGAACGTTTAAGAGTCTGTGGACCATAGAGTTAAATGCGGCTATTTTATGTGAAAAGGGGTGAGAAGAGCTTTTATGTATATCTATATCAGTGTAGCTGGGTTTGTGAAAAATTTTGAATGTGTGGTGTCTATTATTTTTTTGGATTGTTAGATCTAAATAATTAATAGAGTTATTTATTTCTTCTTCCATTTTGAATTTAATGTTCGGGTGTAAGTTATTTATAAAATTCAAGAAAATGTTTAGTTGTCGTTTTGTACCTGTGAAACACGTTAGGATATCGTCTACATATCGGTACCAATATAGGATATAATCAATATATGGATGTTTGTGTATAATTATCTCCAATTGGTTCACAAAGATATCCGCTAACAATGGGCCAAGAGGATTACCCATGATTAGGCCATTATGACTCGTATATATTTTATTGTTAAATTGAAAGTCATGTTTCTAGTGTGTTTATGATGTCGTTTTAACAATACTAACCCAGTTATTATAGTTTTATTAATACCTTCAGGTATAATGTTTATACAACATTTATTTTCTCAAGTTACCTGCCATTTGTTAATATAAATACCGCCACTTGATAAAATATGTACCAATTCTGAAGAAGCTACTGTGTAGCGAAACAATTGTTAATCATTAAAAACATAAATAAATTATGGAAACTTTAAAACAGTGTTCTTTTTATACTTATAACGTTTGTAATTGCAACGCCTACCTTTATGCAAACTTTTATCACTGCACGAATTTCATGTCAAATAATGTTAAGAAAATTGTGGGGGCCAGTTGTGGTAAACCATCCATGAATGTGATGTTGATTAAATTGCGCCAAAGATCAAGTTTCAAACGACACAGTGACCGTTGTACGGGCATAGACAAGGAAAGGCCTATGGTATATGTGTTTAAAAAAGCAAAGCAGCAAATGAACAAAACTTTCAAGACGTAATATAGAACAGAAAATCTTTATCAATTTAATATCATCAAAGTGTCCTAAACACGATATTTAAACAAATATTTAACTGTACTTAAAATTAGTGTAATTTTATACTGTTATTTTTTATATTTCTATATCTTTTTATGTAAAGTATTTTCTCTTAAAATAATTACCCCAACTTTCTTTATCGCCCGAAGCTTCAGTGTTTTCATTACTTGATCCATCGCTGAATTCAGATGAATTGGGTGTTTTAAATAGCTCTGTTACCGTACTCAAGAAAGCTTCAGTTGAAGTTTGTGCTTGTTTTTTGCATCCAGCTTTTTCATAATAATCGCAAACGTTCGATATTGCGTTAAATTCAAGATTGGCAGGGCACAATTGCAAATATGGTACGCCATTGGAGCATTCCCAGAATGAAGAGCAATTTGGACCTGGGAGATATTGTTGGTCCCCACATGTTGCTAAAATTAATCAAGAAACAAAAGAAATGATAAAAACGTAATGATAATAGTAAATTGTATGTATTTTGTAAATAATAGTAAATTGTATGTATTTTTTGAAATTAACTCATTACTAATATTGTGTCCTAATTGGTTGGTTAATAATTAATGATATCAATTATTGCTTTCTACAGGGTGTGATGTAATAAGTTGTTATCCCTTGGGGGGTGATAGTTCACCTCAACTAAGCAAGTTTTTCGGCCTGTTAAAACCTGTTTAAACAATTGGCTGACTCTACTTAGTTGACCACAATCGCTTACACGTTAGGTAGAACATGGTTTAAACAAATCCAGTGACAAATCAAATATTTGATTTTTTTTGGTCAAAAACAGTAGCACTAATGCAAAAGTGACAGGAAAAACTTGCTTACTTTGGCGTAAAATATTATCCCTCAAAGGGAAGACAACTTATAACATGATACTCTGTATAGAATTCAAATTCGTTAATTTTAAGAAACACCCTTCTGGAAATAAATATTAAATAATGATTTTCAAAATGAAGTGTAATTTGAAAAATTAATTAGATACCTAATATAAAAAAAAGTTTTTAATATTACATAGTATTCACATTTTTATGCATTCTGCGGACTAGTTCGATTTCATCTTGTAAGTCGCATAATAATTCAATCATTTTAAATATCGGCCTTTAGAAAGAAAAAAATAATTTAAGTTAAACTACTTTTGCAATCATGCGACGCTTTTTCGTAGGCCCCCTTGTCTTTGGAGCCACAAAACTTTGGTTGCTCAAGCAAAAAAATTTGCAAATTTTTACGAAAGTATCCGTACCTACACTGATATCGAGAAAAAAAATTTCCGACGCTGATTATAATATATATTATAAAAATTATTTCTTTTATTTTAATTCAGTAAGAATATTCTACCGGGCCGCAAAAAATCATATTTGGTGCTATATTAACATTACTTTTATTTAACACTTCGATTTATAAAATTATAATTTTATCATATAAATCATTCATTATTTTATAGTTAGATATTTTTAATGGCCTCCTTTTTGCAACAAAAAAACCCAACAGGCAGTATATTTTACGTTTACGTTAATTTCTTAAATTTAATTTAATGTTTAATTTTATTTTTTTTTGTAATTAAGGATTTTTTTATTTAAAATAATGTTAACTTGTTGATTGCCACTTTTTTTCAAATGTGTATTTTCCAAAAAAAAAATCAATTTTTCCCAAAAAAGACAATTTTTCCAAGGCCTGGAAAAACGGAAAAAACAGGTTTTTTCCCCAATTTTTCCGGTTTTTTTCCGACACTTTAAAACCCTAGTTCTGATATAAGAAAAAACCCTAGTTCTGATATAAGAAACCCTAGTTCTGATATAAGAAAAATACTATTCTTATGGGCGACTTTTAGGGGGCTGTATCTCCGAAAAAGGGGGGCCAATTGGCAAAACTAAAAAATACGTGTCTCCTAAATTTGTCTCGAGAATCTGTGACCAAATTTTGTTGCATTAATTTCCGGACACCCTGTATTGATCTGTAGCCGTACATCGCATAATCTTGCCGTTAAAACGCGTTTCTACTGGTCTCGTGGCAAAAATAAATTTTATGCATCGCCATACACAATTCCTGTTCCCCAATCTAAAATGTTCTCTCCGTGGAATGCATTTTAAGACTATGAAGGCTCTACAAAAATGCACCAAGAAGATGAATGCCATACAGCCAACAGCCTATGAAAAGGGTTTTGAAGATTGGTAGAGGTATATGTGTGCCTGAGAAGCCGTGAAGGCAATTTGTTAGATATTGCCCTTGACGAAAGAATTAAACTACTTACTGCAATAAATAATTATTTTTTCTTATTATTAACTTATAAAAAAACAATAAGCTATTGGTTGATTTAGAAATTGTTATTTGAAAATCCTTTAGAAGATATTTTATTTTATAAATTTATATGAATTAAGCTATAGCATATATGTAATTTAATTATATTTTAAATGTTAAATCGTACTTACGGGCTGTTTCTGGTACCTCGGAAGAAACATAATCTTCAATAGTCGCATCATCACCTGAAGCCTCAGTGTTCTCATCATTACCTGATTCTTCAAAGGAATCGGATGAATTAAATATTTCAGATGGCTCTGTTACAGTACTCAAGGGAGCTTCTGTTGAAACTTCAGTTGAAGTTTGTGCTTGTTTTTTACACCCAGCGTTTTTAGGATAATCGCAAACGTGCGATTTTGCGTTAAATTCAAGATTGGCAGGGCATAATTGCAAATATGGTACGCCATTGGAACATTCCCAGAATGAAGTGCAATTGTGACCTGGGAGATATTGTTGCTCTCCACATTTTGCTAAAATTAAAAAATATATTTTTAGATACTTTTTCGACAATATTATTAAATTATCAATCATACGACTAAATAATAACCTATAGGTATTGGGAACGTTATGTATAGATAGAGTTATTAAGTAATAAACATTACATTAAACGTCAGGTATAAAATAACATTAACATAGCTGGGTAATTCAAATAATTCTAATAAATCCTATTACATATTTAAAAATAAGTTATGTGGAAACAGTACATAATAGTACTATTTTTAATAATAATAATAATAATGTTTATTAATCATATTAAATAATCACAATATCAGAAATACAGCAATAATAATAAACATAATACACCACGAGATATTGTAATAATATCTGTGTGTGGGCTAAACATACACATAAAAGGTAAGAATATATATATATATATATATATATATATAGGGTTCACAAAGTATCATTCTATGTGTTCGGTTATCATTTTTGCATTATTGCCATTTTTTTCAATAAAAAAATAATTAAAATTAAAGTAAAAAGTAAAGTAGAAATTTTTGGCCGCCACTGGTTGTTCCTGACCTACGATAACTGACGCAAAACATGCTTGCACAGTGGGCAATAATCTACATTCATTAAAAATTTACTTTGTGTTATCATTGATTACTTTGTTGATAATTGTTTTTTGTTTTGCATACTTAGCTATTTTTAGGTACTTTCCGTGGTTTTCCTGTCGATTTTAAATTTCACCTTTCACTTTTTACGTCGATTGATGCTCATGTACACTGAGAGAAAAAATTTTGTAGAATCATTCAAAACGATAATAATTCAAAGGGATTCAAATATGTTTTGGTGTTATTGGTGTGTCCCATTAAATTAATATGTGTATAACAATTGTATAATACATATATTTTTAAAATAACGTTGAGAAAGGCAATGAAATAAATAGATTTCTTTTTGTATATATATTTTAAAGAGGGAACACTTTAAAAGTGTTTAAAAACATTGTCAAACCGTTGGTAAATGAATATAAAACTACAAATTTTTCTATTTGAATCAAATTTACCCGATTATTTAAATTAATATAATTTCATATGCTTTTCATGACATAATATTTCTCTGAGTGTACCTATTTTTTTAAGTGTTCCACAAAATCATAATAAATGTTTAATTATCCTGCTGTGTATATATATATATATATTAGGGTGGTCCAGAAACGAATTAAAAAAGTGAAGTTGTAAATAGACTTATTCTCACCCTCTAATTTTTTTATATAAAGTAAAAAAAGTTATTTTAGAAAATTTGAACCCTCTAGCTTAATTAGAAGGGAGTGCTCACAGCTATGATAGAATGATTCTGAAGACAATATATCCACATGAAAATCATGGTCCAGAACTCTTATAAGTACTACTTATAAGTACTATAGTAGCATAAATTGCAGCTTTTTTGTGGTTTCTGTCGGAACAGATTTCCGATTCGTTTCTACGATTTGTAACAAGTCTTGCTTTTCGTCCTCATTTTTTATAATTGATTATGCTCTTCAAATAGCTTTACCCATCTTTCCGCTATATCATTTACAACTCGAAGTTTACAACACACAGTCGACCTTGAAAAAATATAAGTAAGAAATAATTTATTGCGTAGACAAAGGCCATATTAATATTATGATTATTATTATTATTATTATTGTTGGTATTAAAATTATTACGATTTCATTGGATAAGTACCAAAGATGATGTTTCAGAGATTCTCTAGCAACCTCGCTTTTCCCAATCTCCTCATAGCGTTCTAAATCTTTCCAAAAAGTTAGGTCGGACATAGTAGCTTTAGTGGCACACGGTGCCTTGATCCAGATTTCACCAAAACGACCAAAGCCAACTCGATCAGTTCCAAGTAGTCGTCATAACGTTGAGACTTTTGTTTCAATGCAGCTAGCAACAAGGGGATTGGGGAGTTTTTGTAAAATTCAAAATTCTTCGACGATTCTAGATCTGAGGACTTGAAGCAGATACGATCAATAGGTACCCAAATTATTTTAAATCGATTAAAAATTGGAATATCCGGAAAGCAGCACAACTTGAAAACCTTACTAAGAATTATTTCCAAAACATGATGACTGCAGACTAACCAAAGTAAGTATCTCCCAATTTTTTCTCAAGCAAAACGCAGCATCCATTCTTCATTCCAGTATTTACAGGTGTTGTGTCAAAACACATTCCTTATACTTTATCCACCAGATTCCATTCTCGAAGTACGTTTCCGACTTCATTTGCTGTACTCCTAATAACTTTTCTATTCCATCTGTTGAAACTACTACTGATAAATGTTCTACTTTAGTTAAGCAGTGGTAATCAGGAAGAATTTTACCATCCCAATGAACAAAAACTAAACCTTGACAAGAAAAACTTTGTTTCATATCTTTTCTTCCTTTCAGGTTTTCGTCTCCGGCAAATAGTGCTGCGAGACGGCATTTCATGCGGATCTTTTCCCAGTGCTATCGCAATCTGTACTATAAGCCTTAGAACTTCACGGTCTAAGACATTTTCCCTATCCAAAGCACTTATGACATTTAAACTGTAAAGTGTAGTTTTTAGTTTCTTAGGGAAAGGTGCGGGATTAGCTGATTGAACTAGTGTGTAAGAAATATATGTTTAGGTAAATAATATTCTTTGGTAATTGTAACATTAATATATAGGGCATAACATTTTATCTAACCAGTAAAAAGATGGCGTAATGTTTTTTTTTAAATAAATTAAAAAAAAACTGAAATCTCTTAGCATGAGCACTCCCTTCTAATACACCTAGGGGCCTAAAATTTTGGGAATTTTTTATTGATGTTGGAGGTAAAAAAATTGGGGGGTGAGACAATCTGTAAAATCAACTTCACTTTTTTGGACCACCCTAATATATATATTAGGGTGGGTCAAAAAAATCGACTTTTTTTATTTTGACTTCTGCCACTGAAAAATCGGTTTCTGGGCACCTTCAAAACATGCTTAGCAACGATGAGCTCTTAACTTTGATGGGAAGATCCGCCTCATTACAGTTTTGCATATTTTTCTTAGTCCCCTACAAAAAAATTCATATCTCATCATTCGTTAATCATACACTCAAAAAAAAATGATGTAAATTTACCACGATTATTGATGGCGACTGGTGACCATCGATAATCCAGAAAATTTGCAACAACAAAGTAATTTTACAAAACAGTATTAAAATTACATTGTAATTTTACACCCATATAATTAAATTTACAAAGTAAAATTCCTAGTTCAAATAAAATCATAGTGTAAAATTACTAGATTTCATGTAAATTCACAATGTAAAATTCCTAGTTAAAATAAAATTATAATGTAAAATTACTGACTTCATGTAAATTTACAAATACTTAAAAATGTAAAATTCCTTCTTCAGTAAAATCACAATGTAATTTTAATTTACAACATATTATAACATTAAAAAGAAGACATCATTTTAACAACCAAAATATATAAAATTGGAAATTATATTTAAATTCATAGGTAACCAAAAATAATTTTCAATTTGTGGTTGTTAAAATAGTGTCTTCTTTTGGTGTTGTGATATGTTGTTTTACATTTTATTGGAAACCGTGGTTCAAGGAATATCTAATTTAAACTAACTTGGGGTTTAATTGACGGTGTTTTATTTTTATAAGTACTTATATATTTATATATATGGCTTGACACAAAATAGGTACTTTTTAATTAATATTGATAAATAACAAAATATTTTTTCAGGATATTTACCTATTTAATAGAAATTGTTAAGAAAATTTAAAAACCGATAATGGATTTATATTTACTTACCTGCAGAAACTACATGCATTTTTTATTACTAAATCCCTAGTAGCAATGGAATTGGAAAAGATTCTTTGTCAAGATACTTGGAAAAGCACTTTGTAAAGACCAGAATTCGACCAGATTCTTGGCCAAGAATTTTGACGTATACGTCAAAATTCTTGCCTATACAGGGTGTCCCGAAATTGGGGAGCCAAACTTAAAAAGTGCATTCTTTATAGAAAAATAACACTTGTTTGTTTAATAAACATGTATCAAAAAATGCCCCCTAACAGAGCTACGGCCCCCTGAATAGGAGCCTAAGAGGATCATTTTTTTAAAACTATTCCTAGAGGTTTGAACAGGAAGATATAAATGTTTGGTACTTTGGTAATTTTGACATGCTGAATCTAGATCTTAGATCAAAACTGTTAAAATTGAATCATAGGCGTTACATTTGGGGGGGCAAAGTTACAAAAATAGCCCTAACTTTTTTCTAGGTTAATGTTTTAATTTTTGTTTATGAAATTATGAAAATTTATAGTTTTTTACGAAAAATAGGTACTCTTTATTTAGATCGTTCAGATGCACCATTTTCGAGAAAAATGCATTTATAAATAAATTACTCTCATTATTATTATCTCATATTTTCATTAAAACGTTCATGAAGAAATGAATTTTTGGTACTTTGGTAATTTTGACATGCTGAATCTAGATCTAAGATCAAAACTTTTAAAATTTCATCATAGGCGTAACATTTGGGGGGGCAAAGTTACAAAAACATCCCCAATTTTTTTCAGAGTTAATATTTCAATTTTTTTTTATAAAATTATAAAAAATATAACTATTATAAATAACCCAAACGTCACTTTTGTCCTAAAGCCTACTAGAAAATTCTTGCCTATACAGGGTGTCCCGAAATTAGGGGGCCAAACTTAAAAAGTGCATTCTTTATAGAAAAATAACACTTGTTTGTTTAATAAACATGTGTCAAAAAATGCCCCCTAACGGAGCCGTAGCCCCCTGAATAGGAGCCTAAGAGGATCATTTTTTTAAACTATTCCTAGAGGTTTGAACAGGAAGATATAAATTTTTGGTACTTTGGTAATTTTGACATGCTGAATCTAGATCTTAGATCAAAACTGTTAAAATTGAATCATAGGCGTTACATTTGGGGGGCAAAGTTACAAAAATAGCCCTAACTTTTTATTCAATATTTTTCTATTTAATGG